ACCAGTGTGCAGCCCCACCTGGATGCTATTGATGCAGAATCCTTCAACAGCAGAGTTTATGCTTTTGGTAGTTGAAATCTGAAATAAGAGTTGTGGCGTAGGAAATAGTGTGAGAAACCGCCTGTTGATGCTCATCGATGAACAGTGGGATGGATGGGTTGACTGCAGAATGTTTTGACAGCGTTCGGAATAGAGGGGTACAAAGGGCCGTTCGTGTAATTTAGTTTAACGTATTCAATGAATGCACCTGGCATTGCGTGGTGTGTCTTAGTTTATGAGATGAAAGGTGTACGGCTGGAGCAAATTAAAAGATCTGATGAGCAGGACTACAGAAGAAAGTCGAACGAGCTGCAAATGGCAATAAATTCAGATCACCTGAAAAGATGGAAGCCAGAAAGTATAATGGGTCAAGGGCTGAGGTGATAAGTGAGCAGAAACCATTTTGGAGCAGGAAGGTTAAATTATTGAAGGTAATTATTTAGATGGCAAAAGTGCTTTTGGTTTTCTGAAGCCCTTAAGGAGCCAACTAATTTGCAGAAGTGCTAAGAAATGTGCGGGATGATACTTACTGGAATGTTACTGGAATGTGGCTTTGACCAGGGGACAATTATTTTTGTGTGATTTGGTTTAAGTAGTCAGGGATATGAACAGTGCAAATAATGAAGTGGGCATGTAAATCACTAGTGAGACTTTTGGTGGGAATTTCAGGTTCTGCTTATTTATAAAATGTATGTACTGTATGGATATGTGTACTGTAAAAATGAACTGACTGCTTTAAGAAACCATGGTGAGACTTGGCAGAATGTTCTTGGTATTCAGTATGGGTATTTTGTACACCTTTTATTTAACCTGTACACTACAGATGTGTTGTCTGAGTGAATGTGAGAGGATATTTGGGTCTTGGTGGAAACTCAAAGAATATCAGGCAAAACAAAAGGGTAAACTTGTAAAGTGCAATGGGGAAATCTGAAAGAATAATTTATGACATTTTGTGTTTTCCTCTGTAATAATTTATGACATTTTGCGCTTTCCTCTGTAATAATTGCCAAAGCCATGGAGAGGGTGCAGAACCAGTGAAAAATTGGAGGTGTTGGATAGAAGAAAGAAAACAGCCAGTATAAAAGAAAGTGATATTCCACTTCTCCAGGAATAAGTGATCAGCACTAAATTCCACTGCAGCAGTTATCTAAAGAAACCTAGGGACAGCAGGAAGTTGCAGAAATAAGAAATAAAAGTGTGAACATGGAGAATGATCAACATCCTAGTTTATGTAACAAAGAATAGTTTAAAGCTTCCACTTTGAACAAGAGCAAGAGTGAAGGAAAGTGGTAAGAAATATCTCAATGTTCTTACTAGACCTGATTCTGAAGCAGCTGACGTCTCAAAATGTATTTCATTTCAAACTGCAACAAGACTGAAGTTCTGCTTCTCAGCACCTCCCGTCACCTATGTAAAGCCAATGCAACCCTATCTATAAAGTAACTGTTCCGTATGCTTGAATGTCAACCCACATTGAAGAATTTAGGGTTATATTTGATCATGTCTTAACTTTTGACCCTCATGTGCAGAATATTATAAAAACATCATTCTTTAATCTCAGAAATATTGCAGAAATATTGCCAGACTACAGTATGTCCTATGATGTCTTTCTGTATTGTAGAAAAGCTGGTCAATACATGTCTTTTCTAGAATTGAATCCTGCAATGTCCTACTTGCTGGGGTATCTAAATCAACAAGCATTTTCAGAATTTGGCAGCTAGAATCCTGACTAGGATGCATGCAAGTGATCACATTACACCTGTATTGGAGTTCTTGCACTGTCTTACTATCAGGATTCAAACTAATTCGAAATTCTGATGCTCTCTTAAAAGACTCTCAGTATCTATCTGACTTCTAGCTATCTACTCCCCACCTCACAACCTTCATTCGTCAGGTTCTGGTTTCCTCTCTGTCCCCCAAGCTCATCTACAGTATATTCTATAGCTGACAGGGCTCCATCTATGGGGCTCCTGCTACTGTATGCCCCAAAGCTCTGAAATTCTATTGCCAAGGATATCAAGGAGTCACCTACCCTGAGTGCAATTAAATCCTGAGTGCATTAAAAAATGCAAAACCTTACTTTTCAGAAAGAATTGTACTTAATTACTGTCTCTGTCTTCGCCATGTATCTAATGCTGCACTTCTAACTGTCTTTCTTTTACATCCTTACTTTGTAGATTGTAAACTTATAACTGCTTTTTTTATTTTAACCCTTTTACTTTCACAAAGAACATGTTGTTGCAAACTCACTTTCGAGTTCCTACAAGTTGCGACAGGATCTGGCCCTTCCTGCACACTAGTCTGTGTAATGTTGTACAAGTGAATAAATACAGGTTGTTTCACAGCAGAAATGTTCCAATGTGATCTGCATTGCACAGTTAACAAGTGAGTAGTATTTGTCAGAAAAAAAATGTTTCGAAATCAAGACCAATAGTTCCATTGGACTTAAAGAGATGCTTATTTACAGTGTCATAGGAACACACTTGTCACCGGATAATTTGTTGCCTACTTCTGAATCACAGAACATGGTGCTGCGCATAAATTTTAATTTTATCTATTTTGTGATGTAAATTGGAGGTTTAACAAGTTAATGTGTACATTTTAATTTTATTGTGGTTTTAAATGCACTCATCAATGCTGATTTTTTCTTACCCCAAAATATGAAAAATAGCTTAGCAGTTCCCCTTTAACTGTTTTATAACAACTACAGGTACTGTACTTTGAGATGCAACTATTAAAAGGTTCTGTATGAAATAATCATTGTTGTTATTGTTGTTGTTCTTCTTCTTCAGTTTAGGACTTGCTGTTCAGAAGGAATAGGGATTAAGCGAAAGTGACTAAGATGTGAAAAATGAGACCACTGTAACACTTAAGCAGAATCTTATTTAATGAAAGGAGGATAATGTGGATTAATAATGATTGGGTTCAGATTTCATGTAATCTAACTCCAGCAACTCAGAGGAGCAGCACACAAGGATTATTGTGGCAATTACGGTTCTTCAATGAAGAGTGGAAATGTTGCACCAAGACAAACAATGGCCAGGTTGTATACATTGCCATAAGCCTTTTATTTAAAACTTCAAGGAAGTGCAGTAAAAACCAGTGGCAAGTCACGCACTTTCGATTTGTCAAAGCATAGTGGTCCAGATATGATGGCTGTGTAAAATGATATCAGAATTTGGCTCTAATTGGAACCCCAAAGATGAATAGCGATGATGACAGAGTACAGTCTTAAACACTACAAATGAATCTGAAAAGATTCATTATGCTTGGTGGCCTAAAACTATTTGCTGCAGTAGTGACACTTAAGTGCATGATCAGTGAGATACTGGTGAAAATATGGAGGTTTTTGGAAGCATAGAGTAATCATTATTGAGGTGATCTATTCTCTGGCTCTTATAGAAGGATCCACTGCCTTAGTCTGCCATGTAGTTGCTTTCCTGTTTAAACATAGTGGTGCCAATGTGTTTTTTAAGTGTCAGTAGAAGATGAGCAGAAGGGGATGAACCAAGTAATGCAAGTGCCTTAATAAAGGATTGAGAAAAATCCCTAGAATTTTAAATATGTATTTGTTTTCTCTTAGCTGAAGAAAATGCATCCAAAAAATAGTCAAGAACAAAAGGATTCTAGTAGTGGGACCATTAATGAGATAAAGTCATCTGAGAAATGAGGGATGGAGTGGAACTTGTAAATGAAGGAAGGTCCAGCAGAGGGACACGTTTTAAGTAGTGAGACAGCAGAAATTGAGATGGACTATAAAATCATGCTGCAAAGGAACAATATAGGTTTATTCCATGCTGAAAAGAGAAGAAAGA